GATTTAAATAAAAGCAGTACAGAAGAGCCAGGAAGATTTAGTCAGCAGATTAATTTAAATACATCCTTCAGAGAAATGTGAGAATTTCCCTTTCGTTGTTTTTTAAATGCAACAGAATTTGTCACTTTCAACTGTTAGCTTTATCTACAGAAGAGGCATCTCATCACTGGGAACAGCATTTATTTCTTCCATTCTATTCCAAAATAGGTATCAGCCTGCCTCTGAAATTCATTTCACAAGAGGAATCCCAAGTAAGATTTCTCAGCTCCTTTGCAGAATCATTTATCTGCAAAAACACTCCTTTCCTTTGAGAAGTCAATTAATAGGTTCAGTGTGGCACATCCAACACTCCTGGTAAGACAAGGGGATTTTCAGCGATTTGTTCTCACAGGTTCATTTGCTCCACATCTAGTCTTGTGGAGAAAGGAATGGAAGATCTTGCACTCTTCTTGGTGCCTCAGCTGAGATTTTGTGCCCACATCATTTCTATCTAGAATTTTTTCTTTTAATATTTTTTATCCCTTGTAAAATTCTGTTGAAGGTAACAGCCTTAAAAACTATAGTGCATTTTTATTACCCACATAGATTTTTTTTAATCCCCTTATCAAGAAAATTCAAAATTGATCTGTGTGAAAAGCTTTCAGATTTTTGATAAAAACACTCTTCTTTAGGAAACAAGTCAACCAAAACACCTGCCAGAGCCCTGAGAAGGCTAACAGACTCATTTGCTCCAGGGCAGCACCTGAGCATTGTTGGCCCTGACAGGTCCTGCCTGGAGCCCCCTCGTGCATCCACTGCCCACTTCAGCTCCAGCTGGGCCTTCGGACCAGGTGCTGTGTTGTTGTGCTATCTGGATTTCCTAGCTTGACCTTGGACCTACCTGGCCTGTTGCCTTTCCTAGTGCTTCCTAGGTAGTTGCTGTCACCACCCTTCTCTGCTTGCTTGTGTCCAACACTGCGAGATTGCCTGATTGATAAGCTCATTGCCCACCAGGTGCTATGGCTGCCCTTTGCTCCTGGTCTTTCTAGGGAAATAGGCGACTCTCAGTGCACCTTAACAATGCTATTCTGTTGAGAAATTTTCATGCTAATTAAGAGAATTGTCCTGCACCTATGGGCAACTTTTAGTCTTAACCAGGGAAGTTAATCCATTCATCCTGTAAAGCTGTGGTGAGTCACTGACTTCTTTCTCCAACATCAGCATTGTTTTTTTTTTGCTTTGGAGATGCTTATTTGCTCTGCCAGCAGTTATGGTGAGCAGCTTTGGGGTAAGATGGAGTGTACAGTCTTGTGAAAGAACCAAAGGAGAGCTCCAGCTCCATGGTCAATGAATGATAAACAGCTTGGGCACAGCATACCTAGCAGCATATAGGAAGATGTATTAGAACACAAATTCTGCAGCGACAGCCGAAAGTAACCACCAAACTGTTGGCCATACTTTATGACCATGTGGATGTTCTTAGAGTCTTTTAGGTCCAAGGATTTGAGTTTCCAGACTCTGGTGGAACTTGTCCAAGTTTCACACTGTAGTCAGAGAGAGGAGCCAACCCACAGCCTCTGCATGGAGGCTTTGGTGAGGCCATGACACTATAGTTTAGACTGAAGAACAGCTGCTATGTACAGAGACCGTGAGCCTTCCTGAGCCTTTGGCTCCTCCTATGAACAACTGATTATCTTTACAAGGCTGCTGTGAGGATGAATGTATTAGTGACTGCAATGCACCAGAACTACTGGGATGTCCTATTGGTACTGTTGCCAGGTAATTTATTATCTGTTTTTCCTTCTGTGCTGCCTTATCTTCTCTGTTTGGAGTTGATAGCATCATGCCAAGTCCTCCTGCTGTTTGCAATTATATTTTTTAAAATGGTATTATGATTAAAGAACAAATGCAGAGAGCTGCTGCACAGGATCACTGTGTTTCAGCAGTAACGGAGAGCCAGAAACCTGATGCTGGGGCATCACTGAAGACATTTTGTGATTCTGTAAAATAAGTGGGCTTCAAAGGCTCTGATTCTGGCTCAAGAAATGACAATTCATCTGCCTTTAAAATTAACAGATTTTTTTTTTTCACATCATTGCTGCAATATTTCTGTTTTCTGCCCTCCCTTTCACTTCAGATGTAACCACATTTCAGTGACATATGAAGTTATTCCTATATATAGCATGAAGAACAATTTGGGATCCTTCCAGTGAATAAGTCCTGGTTATATATCAGATATTTATTAGCGTAGCACTTCACAGTAGGAATCAAAGTCAAGTGCAAAGCTTTGGAACATTTCTGGCTTCAGTCTCGTAAGCCTAACTTACTGCTTGGCCAGGACGTTTGAATATTAGATATGCTGAGAAGAAAAAGCGATTTTGTCTGCATCTTTGTTATGGCAGTGATCTCCTCACCCTGGATTAATTGCATTTTCCAATGATGTTGACAGTTCTGCCCATTTCCATAGGAAAGGAAATATCAAAGAGTGGGCTCAAAGGAGGCCTTTCCAGGAATTTAGGATTTGCCATACCTATCATGTCAGATATCCTGTTCCTAGCAGCTGTCAGGACATTATGCTTTAAAGGAAGTTGGATAAGTTGACCTAGCCAAGGCATGACTAACTACCGCTGAAGAGAACTGAGGTAAGCATCACTTTAGGTGGCGCAGGACTCAGCTTTCTGCCTGGAATGTGAGATCTAATTACGCCTGTCTTTATAGGTTTTACAGCTGTAATGTTGTCGGCAATCACATTAAGGCTTCTACAGTTCTGCCAACATTTTTGATTGTCCCTTTCCATTACCTGTTCAGCATCTGCTCTGCTTTCTCAAAGGTTTTGCAGTCAGAATAAGGGAGGCACCACGTAATTCTGTGTGATCAGTAACATGATTATTCTGCAATGTATTCTCTGCTGAGTCCTGATTTTTTTGGAACAGATGGGAAGTGGGCAGAGAGCTGAAAGCCTTAGGACCACTTAGCTTCAGCTGCTTTTCTGCCCACTGAATTACAAGATCAGGCCTTCCTTAACAGTTCTAAGAAGTGCCATATGCTAGAGACACCACCAGTCCTTTTACTATTCATTGACATGTCTGTTGACTTCACAGAGCAGTCATCTTAAACTAACCTTTATTGAGTGCGACACTGAGTCTGTACGACACAAAATATTTCATTCCATCTATTCTTTCAATGTGTTTTGTCTTTTGAAAAAAGTGACACTATTGACAGAATCCACTATTGACAGAATTTTGTCATCTAGAGCAAATAAACTTGAGATATTCTAAATTCTCTGAAAATTGAGATCTTACTTCGTTCAACTTGCTTTCTTCTCATCTGTCTTTCCCCCTTCCTTGGAAGTTACAGGCATATGTCGTCATGCTGTAGTGCTACTTCCTTGCTTCTAGGAATGACTGACTAGAAATTTGATTGGTAGTTTAAACATCGTTATCTTTAATTAAATCTACAGGAGAAGGATTCTTGGAAACATTTAGTAGGCAAGTAGAGCAGAGAAGCAGAAGCTTATTTCATACTTCCTAAACCTATATATTTCATTTTTTGAAGTGTTATGTACACTAGAAGGAGAATATTGAGTTTTTTGGGGAAAATGTAAAAGACTAAACAGTCTTTACTCTTCCAAGCAATTTCATTGTTTTGAAATAGAATTCACCTTCTCTAAACCTCTGGAGAAACCATATCCTCTAAAATCAATAGATAGTAAGGCTCCTGTTCACCTTCCCCTGATCAAGTGCATTCAAATATTAAGTGATAAATGGGCTAATTTACGCATCTACAAAACAGGCATTCACATTTTACTGACTCCTAGCAGTGTCATGAGGTTCAATTAACAGCTGTAATGCCGTCCCACTTCTTTGGAATAAAGGTATGACTTTTTACATTTGAAATTATGTAAATCCATCAGCTGCTGTGCTTGTAGTAGCTGTCTAGCAGTCTGATAGCATTGCAGATACACTGCTGTGCTCTGCTGCTTTTTGCTAGCCTGATTTTTTTTTTTTTTAAATTTTTTTTTTAAGCTTGGTACTGTTAACTTTCAGAGACTGAAACTAATCCTAAATTTGTATTCATCTGAAAGACACATCTTAATTAACTCTTCAAGGCAATTTCCGTGCGTTTTAATAACAATAACTCAAACTGTGTCAAATTAATGCAAAGTGTACAACATTATTCAGGAAACTTGTGGTTTTAAAGTAGCTATGAAAACATGTTAACTATACTCCCTGCAGCCTTGTTTAGACAACACAGTGAAGAAGTAAGCTGTCTTCCAACTGCAGCGTCACTAGGATGGTCAACCGGATTCCAGCCGCAGGACCAAGACTGCGTGCACTGACACCTCTGCTAGTAGTCTTATGAATACGCTGGCTGAAGTGACTAATCAAAATATTTGTGCAGTTCTTTCTGAAGGCAATTTCTAAAGTTAGCTGAGTGTGTTTTTATATATTACTTCCTGAAAAACTTAAAACTGCAGAGAATATTTCAGTGAGATCACCAATTCTGATTAAACAACATGATAAGAATGTCTTATTAAGGCATAATGGATTTTTTTTTTTTTTTTAACTCCCTACCTGTGCTCCACTCTGTCAATCCTGTCAATCTCTACCCATCAGAACATCCTTTTTTTTGTGGGTGGGTAGAAGGGGAAGAGATAGCGATGAATGCCTGGCCTTATTAAGTTCAGCCTCAAAATTCTGCAACCCGGTCAAGTACATATTAATTTTGGCTTTTGCTGTTTGGAGTGTTCCAGATAATTTACTATTGTTCACTTGTTCTAAAAACAACATCAAAAGGCATTTTCCTACCATTGGGTTGAAAACCGAAGAGAGACAGATACAAAATGTAATTGCCTTGGTCACTGTGAAAGTGTCAAATCCCCCCACTCACTTGAAGCTATTGTATTCTTTCTTAAAATAGGATGTCACCACAGCTCTGCAGCTGAGCCCCAAATAATCCACTGCATTGTCTTGTGCCTTACTCCAAATGGACTCAATGGTCTCCTGAGGCTGATGCAAACAGAGCTGTCAAATGCTGTCAGAATGAGAAACCACCAGGTAGGTTTTTGAATTTTCTAATTAATGTATCTATAGAATTACAGAATATTATCTACAGATAATATTCTGGCCCATGCAACCAACAAGTGAATTATTGTACTTGCAATAGGCTGTGGGTTCTGACAGCATCAGATAGAGCAATTAACCCAAATTTGCATTACACATTCTTTATTGTGCTTCTGACCTCAAATATCTGAGACTACAAATTACAGCCATCTCTTTTTATTTGTATTGGAAGCATAAAGATCAGGAATACAGGAGCACATCTGTCTAAAGTGTTTGTTTTTTTCCTGACCTTTCCTTATGATAGCTAATTTATGTTAAGTTTTGTTTATAACCCAGCAATTCTCTGGCATGCAATGCTAACCAAAAATAATTCTTTCTTGATCCAGATGGTGATGTGCATTTTGAGATCCATTTAGTCACTTTCTGAGATGAAGATGATGTTTGAGATATATTTTTTTAAACAGCACGTCTTGCCTAGTGAACTAGTCTTGCAAATATTATTATCTTTATGTTAGTGTTGGAGCAGGGTGCAGTGCTGTACCAGTGCTTGTGAAGCACAGAAAAGCCTAAGATGGACTATGGAGCTCTAATTACTTAAGAAATAATGCTTCACAGCAGGCCAGCAACACACTGCAGTCACCATCATTCTATTATTCTGATTTTAAATTGTTTCATCTTCCTCTGAGAATTATGACAGAAAACTCTGATGAAACATTTTATGAGCCATGTGTGACAGCAAAAACATTCCATGAAAGATAGAAATCTCATTGTTGGTGAATTTAATCACTGTATCTCGGAAGGCCGTGAGTTATGCCTCTGCGGAATGCTAAAAGTTATAAAATGAAATTACAGGTAGTACCTAGGAGTATCAAGAAAGAATAAGGACAAATAGAGTGTAGTTTCATGGCTCTTTTATATGAAAGAGTGTGGCTGAGGGGCTGACATGTCTTAAGGACAAACAGTTTGAGTCCTTCTGTACAGTTGTTCAGCCCCTCCCGTCACTGACATCCCTGTGGGGTGGTCTTTAACTCCTGTGGCTTCCTGTTAACAAGATAGTGATGTCAGAGCTCTGTGCCAGCCTCCTTCCATCAACAGAAGCGATCCCCAGAAGGGAAACTGAGGCTTTGGTAAGGCATCCTGCAAACCCTCTTGCTTTCTTTGAGTGGGAGCAGTCAGAAGCCAGCAAGAGCAGAATATACCAGTGGGTAGCCATCACTTTTTAAAGTTGCTTTTCAGGAGCCCCTTGGCAGGGAGGCAAGCGCTGCAGACATCACTGTTCTGCTTCAGTTCCCCAGGAAGGGGCAGAGTTTCAGCCTCAGCGCTGTAGTGGTGGCCCAGGTTAGTCTTGTCCAAATAATCCATTTGTACAACTGAGGAGAGGAATAACTGTAGACATTTGAAGGCAGAGAATGAAAGATTGACTTCATAAACAGAGTTCTACCATCATGTTGTAATATATCCAGAGGGTCTCTATGCCTCCTTTGTGCTGCCACCCACAAAGTTTTAGGGACTCCTTTGTTTGTAGCTGTGTGGTGCAATCTGCAGACCAAATGAAGGATGTGCCATTCCACTGAAATCTGTTGTTTCATGGCTTGAAATTACATCTTTTGTTTGACATTAGACCACATTCCTACTTCCTGATTTTTTTTTTTTTTCGTTGTTGGCATTTCAAGAATTGGACAGTGTTTCTGAGTAAAAGCAAATCCGTCTATCTTGGCTTCCCTGTCAGGAGCACTTCCCTTTTAGGTAAATAAAACGAGCTGTATTGTTCCTTGTCATCTTTGTCCTTCAGTGAATAATTCTTTAATCTTTATTCAATTTATTCTTTTTACCTGAAAGAAACAAACAGCCCTGATTTTAAACTCAGCACGTTCCTGGCTTTCATTACTAATACTGATTTGCGTTTCAGTTTCAGTGGTAAAGCAAGAGACCAATTTGAGAACAAATAGCTTGGAAAACTAATGTGAAACCACTGCATTAGCAAAAAACAGGTAAGCGATTGTGTGTGGCCTCTGCTTTGTACAATTCCAGATAGCCGTATTCGGATGTCACTTCTCAGACAAGCTGCAGCAATATTAACAAAATACTTGTCTCCAGTGCCTTGAACAGGTAAAAGGGAAGTCCATTGTGTTGTGTTTGTGTGAGATGTTAAGCTCTTGACTTTTATCAGCTGTGGATCATGACTCCTTCCTTGCTGTTAGTAAGGTTTTTACAGGCATAGTTGTTGAAGAAGATCTGTGTTACTCCCTTTCACTGTCCAATCAGGGGTTGCATTTCATCAGTGCAAACACTGGTCCAGGAAGATAAATAAAGTCATAAACACTAGTTGGGCAGTTTAATATGGTGTCACAGCTCAGTCCTCCAGCTAGCCACTGCATGGGGAGCAACAGTGTGTGAAGTGCCATGTACCTGCAGACCACTTGCTTTTGTGGTGATGTGATTTATAAGATAGCTAACAAGCTTCCATTCTGGACAGAGGTGTCACTGTGTGTCAGTAGCGATTCATCTGAAAAATAATACCCTGTTAATTGCAGTTCTTCAGTGTGATTTTGAAATAGTGTAGAACACAGCAGGAGTCATCTGGTACCTCTATAATGCAAGGAGAATCCAGCCTGGGATGCTCTTAAAAGAGTTAGAGGAACCCTGACCGGTCTCTGCATTTAAACTGCTATTCAGTTCTCACGTCCAATTTATGTTAAAACATTTTATGTCTGTAGTTTGGAGACAAAAAGTTTAGTCAGACACTGAATGCCTCATTCAATAATATGTCACTGAGTGCTCTAATTGTACTGTGAGAACAATTTTATTGTACTGGCACCAAAAATTTCAGCAAATGTCAAGCAAGCTGCAAATGAGGCAATTTCAGACTGGACTTTTATTGAATTAAATGGATTATTTCCTTGGTGCCTTCAAAGCCTTCAAATATGTCTGGAATCTCTTACCCATTTATCTAAGTCTGCCTAAACCAGATTATTAAATGGCCCATTTTCCCTAATATCGGTCTAGATTTTTATCATCAGTCCCCTGATTATTATAAATTGCAGGGTATGATATTTCAGAAGATTAATATTCCATCTGCCTGACACACTGCCAGGAGATCAAAATGATTGGCTGCTTCAGCTCAGAGCTAATCAACATGATGGGCTTTTAACACCCTGCATGTTCGTGGTGGGCTCGGCTACATGGGTGGCTTATGCTTGTGGAAAGCTGACTGCATCTGTATCAAGAGCTCTGTGCCACACATCATTGGCAAAATGCTTTGGAGCTTCTAATTCTGTCGAGATCAGTAGCACTGTCACAGGGGAATAAATGCTGTTGAGTATCAAGAGAATTTCATCAATGCTGCCATGTTTTGTTAGCTGTCCAGTTACCTTCCCATATGGATGCCCTGAAGGTTCCCACTTACTCCTGGCCATCTGCTGCAGCATGTTGTTATACAAGAAAAAACAGTTACTCTCCAGTATTGGAAAGGTTTGTGGGATTTCTACCTACAAGCCTGAGTGCAGTAAAAAATAAATTCCTTCCTCTCCAGACTAAAAGAATACATGGTAGCCAACAGTTTGCTTCAATGGGATTACTGAATTTAGGTTAATATGACATAGTACAGCAAATAGTCTTACTCTGATGTAAATCTATTTGTGTAGTAACATTCACATTTTTGTATAATACACAGAATGGTCTTCACTTTCCACATTGGTTTATGAAGGCTTAGTGGAATGCTAATTTCCGTATTTGTAACACAGAAGGGAGTAAAATTCAGCGCTCCACTGCATCAGTTCAGGCTGAAAGCAGTGTGCTTCCCTAGGCTGCTGTTGTGAGGCTGATGTTGCAGTGCTGCCCACACAGGAGCTATTGACTGCCCACAGTTCCTGACCGTGGGAGTAAAACCTGTTTAAGGTGGTGTTTACAGGAACCCTGTGTTGTCCCTACAGAGGAAGAGGGGGTTTCAGGAAAGCCACTGTCATCCTCTGTCAGAACTTCTATAGCAGTTTGGCATACTCTGAAATATGAGGCATATGTCAAGCAGCAACCAACTGACAAGTCAGGAGGTAGATGAGGAAACCTGTCCCTCAGTGTACTACCGTTCTCACTCACTTCCTTTTTCCATGTCCTGTCCCAACACCACAATATGAATAACCTCGTTCACAAGCCATTCAGTGCCAGAGGCTAAGGGGAAATGATATTGGCTCAACAGTGAGCCAGCAATGAATTACTACTATGTGGCAGTTTACAGTTTTACATTATCTGTGACAAAGGTGAGCCATAGAGAAAAGTAATTCTGGTACTTTTTACACTCAGAACTGATGAAGAGTTGCACAATAAAATGTCACTTAGACTAAAGGCTTTTAATTCTTATTCCTTCATATTTTTATAGTTGCAACCCTTGCTGACAAGCTGTGTTCCAGTGTATTTTTGGTCAGTGGCGCCAAAAAGGAAAACAGTCCAAGAAATCTAATTGTAAGTACTTTCATGATGTTGATTGTACATCTATGGATTTCTCACTCAGCAGTGTCTGCATGTTGTAAATTCACCTCTTGGTACAACCCCGTTGAAGTACTATAATGCACCAGGAATTAATTTGGTCTACTGTATCTAAGTGGTTGCTAAACTCATGGTCTGTAGGGTGTTTAATCATACATTTAACATCGTCCTGAATCAAACTCCTGAGAGTAGTCTAATCTCTCGTCAGCTCAAGAGATTCTCACTGCTAACAGGCATTTTTTAGAAGCCATTTCCTCATTCTTTTTCAGTCCTTGCTAATAACAACCACATTTAAACTGCTAGAAGACATTGAGTGTGAACAAAATCATACATATTATTTTTGTATAACCCAAACTAGCAAGGCCAACCAAAATTAGTCATGCTGGATGTCATACGTGCTATGTGCAAAATAATCTCTTTCCTGACAGTTTTGTTGTGAGACAAAATAAACTTCTCAGAATGCAAAACCATGCCAACCCAGGTTCTAAATCAGAGATGCTGCTCTCCAGCCAGGTCAGAAGCTGCACAGAGAGTCTTGCATCTGTTTATCATCACCAGATGTCTAATGTCTAATTTCAGTACTCAAAGCAGTGAAGTAAAGATTAAGCAATATACAAATGCAGTGATAAAGTATAAGGCTTATAAGGAGACATCTCTCAAATGGCTAAGGAGCAGGTTTTATGGTACCTCTACTATTTTATTCTATTCTCTTTCAATTATTCCATTTTCTCCTTTTTTTTTTTTTTTTTTTTTTTTTTTGACAGTTCTTTTTCCTTTTAAAAATAGAATCTATTTTCCTCCAGATATTTTTCTAAACAAAGGGTTTTACAAAAACCTTAAGCTATGGCTCAAGTTGTGACTCTGCTCTTGACAGCAATTGGACAGAGAGCTGAAGAGATGTGAGGGGATGGATGGAGCTTGGATGGAGAATGTCAATATCCAGCAAATGACTAATACAATTGAAGTCCCGCATTTTTTATGTATTGTCTTAAAACTTTCAGGTTTGGGCTTTTCAGTCAAAAATGGGAAATGATCACTGCAAACAGATCATTCTCACAAGAATCATCGTTGTGCTGAAAAAGTAGTTTTCAGTAGTATAAAAGATTACCTTTTTCATCCACCACCAGCTGCCCCAGAAGTATTCTGTATGATGTTCCACGCAGAACCAAGAAGCATCAGTATCTCTTGCATGGAGACATTCTTTGACTGCAATTGGCTTAGGTCTGCACAGCGAAAGGCACGTAGCCCTTTAATGCTACTTGTGCTTATTTAACTATCAGAACTGTTATTTAATGGGTTTGACCCCATTTCTTTGCTTTTCCTAAAGCTGTTGTATGGAGCCAGGCAGTACTGCTGTAGGTGTTAAAGCACTCATAAATGCAGTTAAGATATCTAACTATTTCTTGTGCTTGCTAAAGAATGTCCAGTCAAAGTAAAAAGTAACAAAGTTTTCTTTCTCTTCTTATGTTTGTAGACAAAGGGTCAGTCTCAACTGGTGAAGACTGACTTCATCTGTGTTAGGCTGTCAGTGCAACTTCTACAATCTGATCCACTCTTCCTCTACTGTTAGCTCAGCCCACCCAGATGGGACAGAGCCTAGTCACTTATTCTGACCTTGGGAGCTTATGGCTCATTCCTAGACTTGGGTTTCAGTATAGTGTTCTGTTCTGTGACCAGAATTCAGAGCCTAAGACCTCCCAGACCACTACACAAATTTCTCTTAACACTACTAAGGCTTTAAGAGCTTGAACTTCTAATTCAACCTGGCTGGAAAAACACAGATAGAAAGAACACAGGCTTTTACAGTAGAAATTTTATTTCTAAGGCACCTGGCTGTATAGACCTTGGAAAGCAACTTAAGACCAGATGCATAGTTCCCTTGATCCCAACTTACTACTTCTGTAAGTCTAAAGTTTTACCATTATTTTTTGATAATTCCTTCTATACTTTTTCCCTTGCAAGTCACTATGTGTGGCAGTGATTGACCACACTGCAACATTCATCACATCAGTGAATTCTCCATCTCTTCCATGATCCTCACTAAGACAACACTCCTAGAGTCACTGTGCCCCAACTGTGACCTTTTGCACAGGAAATATCCAAGTGAATCAGGATGGGCCAGCAGCAAAGATGCACTGGGTTGGTGTCCCCATCATCTCTAAGATTTTCAGCGTGATGGTCGTTTGGAGGCTAATTCTACTGTGCTGAGCAACTCACTAAAATTGCACTACTACTGACTGCATACCCTGTTCTTTTTTTTTTTTTTTTTTTTTTTTTTTTTTTTTTTTTTTTTTGAAGCAGTCAGTGAAATAACAATCTCTGAGAGACACGAAGATGCCAAATTGAACCACGTGAATACTCAAGGTATGTTCAGGCCATTTGCACCTCTAGTGTGAGTAGCATCAGGTTTTGAAGCAGATATTTTTATCAGAGAAGATAAAGCCACGAAGTGTAAAAGTAATGCTGAAAAAAAAAAGATCTAGATATTCCAGTTGAATGATGATGGATATTTTTTAAGGCATAGTGCTCTGTAATGCTTTGTATTATTCTTCATGCCAGTGCCAATCATTACCATCGTGCTCTTGAAAGATGGGACTCTGTATTGTTGAATGTACAGCCAAACTGACAGTCCAGAGTGCAAACTGCCCCACTGCTTTCAGAGAGGTAGCTACTGTGCTCCAGAAAGTAATTTCCTTCTGGATCTTGGGACAGCCAAAAAGGATCCATTTCTGTGTCCCTGAGAGACTCCCACTGAAAGCTGCCTTATCCAAAGGAAACTATGACAAAACCTGGTCATAACAAAAACCAACTTTTCCATGAGAAAAAAATATTAACAAGCTGAATGAAATTACCCAAATCAACCTTTTACTCCATTTTTTTTCTAAAATATTTTAAAAGTGGACTGTGAGAATCAGTACTTTGCAGAACCGGGTTTGTTACATGCTAGCTGTTAACATGACATAAGTGGAGAGAAAGCACATCATGAAAAGTAATCAGTTTTCAAATTTGAATACATAGTAGTAGCATTCTTTACTTTTACAGAATTGTATCTTTAATCCGAATAGTTCAAAGCATTTCTCAAATAATTTATTACATCTCACCACCTTCTCTCTGAGACATTTAAATATTACTTTCTTCATTGTGGAAGATGGAAAAATGGAGAAATCAGAAAATGAAATGACTTTCCTACGACCACACAGTGAGTCAGAATCAGAATGAAGAAAAGAAGCCCAAAGTGATGACTTCTGCTCAGCTGTTCCAAGCAGTGGGTAATACAGTTTGTCTGTGATATGCCCTCTACTGAGAGGTGATAGTTTTCTAAAGATCTGCTGTAGTTCAAGATGGAAGTTACTGGGACAGATGTGTCTATTACTGGGTGAAATACTGTGACCTAGCTATTCAAAGGTCCGACTAGATGGTCGGAAAGCTCTCGTCTAGTCTTAAAATACAAGTCATTACCACCATACAAACTTACTGGCCCCTTCTTTCTTTCCAACAAAAATTGGCAATTAGTCTTGTTTAAAAGCTTGCTACTAAACTGCATTTTTCAAATCCAAGGCATATTATGCCAGAGGTTAGCAAAAATAGCTTCAAAAACCCTGAAAAATTGACAGGTTGAATCAATCAAATCCATTTTTAATTTTATTTTGACAAAAATTCACACTGGGGCTGACAGCTCCTTGTGAAAACAACTTTGCTCGCTGCAGTTTGAAACACACATGCTATAAACTCTGAGAACAGGATTTATAATATAAGCCTGGCAGTCTCCTAACTCAAGCAGTATTATCACCATGTGTGTGACAATAATATATTAGGTCCATACTTCAGAGCTCCTTCATTAGATTCTGACATATGGATGAGAAAGGAGAGCCCAAAAACTGGGGAGGACATAAAGTGCGGCCTCAGCTGTGCATATTTATCATCTAAATCAAGTGAAGGCTATTTATTGACTTATTGATTCTAATTCAAAATTAGAACTTAATTAAAAGTTTAGTCCATTACCACACAATTACATGGCCCTCAAGACATTTCCAGGCTAGTAAAATACATACTTAATCATGTGGTATATTGGGAAGGCTGGATCTTCAGTTGTTATAAATCAGACATTAGTAGTACCATGCTAATTTACACCATCTGGGGACAGGGCCTATTAGTTTTCTGTGCAGGAGGCAGTTGTTATTGTTTTAAATGAAGGAGCTAAAATGTAATGTTGTCCTTTGCTGAGCAATAGCATATGTTAACTTCCCACCACAAGTCAAGTAGCAATGAGAAATTTAGTCTCAGTACCGTGTGTACTACATACATTTACCAGACTCAGAACAGAAGCGCTCAGAAATAGCATAAAGAACCGTCTGCCAAAACTTTTAATACCAAGCCCTGGAGAAGCTGTCCTGCCTTGGAAACACATTGTAGTGACTGCTAAGAGAGCTTGTAGCAGAGAGCAAACTTTCCTGCCAGTTTCTCCTCAGAAGAACCACAGTATGCACGTGTCAGCATGCAGGCAGCATTGACACAAAGATGCTTTTAAAGCTCTGATGTTCTTTCTGGTTCTTGAGCTCCCTAGTTCCAGCCTCATGGCTGGTTGAGCCTTTTTCCCTCTACACAGTTAGTGGAATACTTTGTTTTTGCAATCTTGGCTTCTGAGGACAAGATTCTTTGAATGCTGCTAATTTAGGATTTGTCACAGCACAGGTTCAGAGTCCGGGCTATTTTTGCAGCTCAGTACACATTTGCTGGTGTGAGCAGTGTGGTAGCAACAACAGAGCTGGATACACTGAAGTGACAAAGCTCTTGAAAACTGGTACATTGAGGGCATGGAGTATCCACAAAAGAGAATTGACTGGGTAACAGTCATTTTAATAGCTGCGAACTGGGTGCACCTGCTACTACTCAGTGCTCAACCCAATAGTATTTCCCAACTATTAATCAAGCATATCCCTGA